AAAAAAAAAAAAAGTTGCTTACTTTAATGCAATGGTACATTTTAAAACTATTAAGAGTAGAGTATAAATGTCTTCTCAGAACAAATAAGTGAGGTGATGGTTATGTTAACAAGTTTGATGAAAACTTTCCACGTTCAATGTCAAATTAGCACATTGTACCCCATAAATGCATTAATGTACACAGTTATAATTTAATAAAAAAAATTTTTAAAGTTGCTTACTTCCAATAATTTTATACTTCTAGAGAACTTGCAATAGCTGTCATATAGTCTCATCCAATCTAATATGCTGTCCTAGGCTCTTGGACATTCTAATATGATCTCATAAGCTCTCATATGTTGTTATATGTTCTTATATGCTGCCATGTTGTCATATGCTCTTACACTTTCATATACTTTCATACCCTCCTATATAGTCTTCTATGCTCTCAGATACTATCATATGCTCTCATATAGCCTCATATGATCTCATACACTGTTATATGCTCCCATATTCTGTCATATGTTCTCATATGCTCTCATACATGCTCAAATGCTCTTGTGTGGTCTCATACCATCTCATATGCCCACAGCCCATGCCAGGCTCAGAGCATCTCAGAGCCAGGGTGAGTCTTCCTGGGGCCACGCATACCCTGAGACCTTCCAGATCAGCAAGGAACAGTGGATGGGAAGGTCCCAAGGCATTCACCACACAGGCAGCTCCCACTGTGGATCCACCTGCCTCTGAGTGTAATCAGGGTCTCATTTTCTCTTTATTTTGAAGAGAGCCTTTGTAGTTGGAGGTGGGCACTTGAGTTAGGTTTGGGAAGCCTCAGGGTCACTAATCAGCCCTGTATCTGCTTCCTGTGGCATTTCTTCTAGGGAGCCAGAGCTGTGATCCCCAGCATGGGGCAGGGGATGCTGGAACTGGATCCAAAACTCTAACTAAGAGTTCCTATTGGCATCTGTGCCCCCCAAGTGGCCCACCACTCATCAAAAGGAGAAGTGGTGACAGAGGGAGCCTGCACTGACCCCAGATATGGCCTCCCTGGCCCAGCCTCTGCCCTAGACTCCAGGTGCAACATCAGGACCACATGGAGCCCATGTGCACAAATGATGGTTCTAGAAATGATTTTGTTATCTACCGATTGATGTGAACTGTTTACTTTGTCTCAAAACTGTCTTGTTGGCTCGGCGCCTGTGGCTCAAGCGGCTAAGGCACCAGCCACATACACTTAAGGTGGCGGGTTTGAATCCCCGACCTGGGCCCGCCAAACAACAATGATGGCTGCAACCAAAAAATGGCCAGGCATTGTGGCGGGCGCCTGTAGTCCCAGCTACTTGGGGTGGCGGGTTTGAATCCCCGACCCGGGCCCGCCAAACAACAATGATGGCTGCAACCAAAAAATGGCCAGGC